AAGGGGGGGGGGGGCAAAGAACAAGTCTGTCTGGGGAGAAGGGCAGTCAGACAGCTGCTCCCTAGGGCAGGGATGGGGAGACTTCGCCTCACAGGTTCTGGACGCGTTGTCAGGAGAGGGGTCGTCATGCTGGGTAAAGCGGAGGGGCAGCGACAACGAGGAAGGCCCTCCGGGAACTGGACGGACACGGCGGCTGCCACACTGGGTGCCAGACTGGGAGCACAGGACGAGCAGGGTTTTGCTCTGTTGGGTTTGGGGTCCCCCCCAAAGCAACAACAGAGGGCGCCGGAAGGACAAACACGTCTGTCTTGCAGGAAGGACGTACAATTGGAAGCCACGATTGTGAGACTGTCTCACGGGCTCTGGACATGGTATCAGGAGAGATCAAAACCCCAAACCCAAACTCCCTGCCCTGGGTCCACGCCGACCCTACAGGCCAGGGCAGAACTGCCCTGTGACTGCGACCCTTTACGGGAGAGAGAGCCCGGTCTCTCTCCCGTAGAGAAGCTGGTGGCCTTCAACTGCTGACCTTGAGGATGCTCCCAGGGCTCCTTCAGGAGAGGCCAGTCCCGGAAAAGGACATGCTGCTTGGTACGGGTCAGTGAGACAGAGGCAGGCCACGGAGGGGGATGACAGGGAGGTTGCTGGGACGGGTGCAGACATAGCCATCTCTACGCCTCCTGTTGCACGCGGTCCCGGTGAGTCGGCGGCAGGCTCCAGGAGTCCAGCTGGATGGCGGTGGCTTTTGTTTTCCGTTTACGGTTCAGGAGAGGCTCTGGTGGGTACAATGCTAACGGCAAGGGCGGCACTTGGACGTACTGGCCGTTTACGGAAGGGCTGGTGACGTGGCCCATAAACACGCTGGCCCAGGGTGCTGTGGGGCCGGCGAGTGTACATTGATCCTCTGTACCCAGCAACAGTGTAGCACTGGCATCATGCTCCTGGAGGATTCGGGAACTTCCCCTACCTAACCCCACCTAGTTCTCAAGCAGCCGCATCAAGCAGGCGGCACGGTCCACTCTCTACAGAGCAGAACAGGACACAGGCACCGTGACTTCCCCCAGGCACCCTGTTGAGTGTCTCTGGACCTTGGCACACAGGCCCGCCTTCTCCCCACGCCCAGGTCAGCGGCCCAGGCCCCCTGCTGCAGACCAGGCTTCCAGCCACTCATTCACTGCCCTTCCTTTTCTCTGTGGCCCAGGGGCCACACGGCACTTCCCTGGAGCCAGGCAGGCCAGGAAGAACCCGCAGGGTCCTTTGGGGTGCCGCCTCTGGAACCTTGGGCAGGAGGAGGTCGTGACTGGGTGTCCCAGTGGCTGTGGAAGGCCCTCCCCGACCGTGCAGAGGGTGCAGGGGTGCCGACCTGAGCTGGACGGAGCCGCTTCCCCACGATATCACATCCGAGGTCTGGATCCAGCAGCGCCTGCAGCCAGTGTGCACCTTTGTGTCTCACAGGTCACCACACACACCTTCCTTTCTCCAGTGTGAACTGGGCACCCATTCCCTGGGCATCCAGGGAAGCTCCAGTCTGCAGCCTCTGTTTCTAGGCGGGGCCTCACCTGTGGGGCAGCGAGTGGATGGCGCAGCAAGAACAGCGCACGCGCTCTTAGTAGGTGCCATGGGTTGGATGGTGTCCCCTGGACATGTGATACTTGGTTGGGCCAGGATGCTCCGTGGGTGGACAGTTATGTAACGACACAATGATTCTCCATCATGTCATCGGACGCGACTGGATGATCTGTCACGAGGGGTTCAGCCAGGTGTGCCAGTCATGAACACGGGGTGCTGAGGACAGTCTTGGATCCCCCAGGGGCACCGTGGGGGGGAGGGGAGGGAGAAGGCCAGGAGCTGGAACATCCTTCCTGCTGCCAGGAGCTACTGGTAGGGGTGCCATCCCAGCACCGTCCACAGGCAGGAACATGGCCGTTGGCTGTGGGATTGCAGACAAAGGGTTGGGTGGAGGGCACACAGGACCCACTGGAGATGGGAGGAGAGGAAGGGGAGTGGAGGGAGGGGTGAGAAAGCCCGAATCCGAGGTTCACACAAGGCAGCTGACGACATCTCTCTCAAGTGGCGGCTTAGTGCTCAGCACACACTGATGAGCCTGCGTCGCAGGAGCAGGGCAGCTGGGCAGTGGGGACGCACCTGTCCTCTGCCCACTCCTGGGCCCCAGACCCATAAATTCACAATAAGCCAGGGCTGTGGATGGCTCTAGCTGAGCCCTTGGCCCAGTCTCCCAGGTACTTGGTGTCCTTGGCCAGCGGAGGCTGGTGTTGGGCGATGACCTGCTGTCCCCAGGCTCCCTGATGGGCGGCTCCATCACAGAGGCTCAGAACAGGTACATCCAGAAACAGCCGATCCGGGTCGCCGAGCTCGTGGGGAGGGGTGGGGGTGGTTTCCTTTGGGATGAGAATGTTCTGCACACTGGTAGCAGTTCCAGAACAACGCTGTGAGTGGACAGAGGACCACGGCCTGCACCTCTCGCAGCAGTAGCTGTGTGGTATGCTCGCTGCCCCAGGAGACCCGGTCAGCCTTTCTGCTCCTGAGACAGACGAGGGCTGGCTGTGCTTTCCCAGCCAGAGAGGCGTGGACGTGAAAAATCCACCTCTCAAACACCCAGCACATGCTGTGAGGTGGAGGAAAGCCAGAGGCTTCCCGGGCGCTGTTGGATGTTCCGGCAACGTGACAGCAGCAAGCAGGGACTCCCTGGGCGGAAGGCGGCTTCCCAAGATGCGTGGTGAGACCCAGGACAGGGCACCATGCCAGTGTGGCGGCAAAGGGCCGCAGCCATGCGCTCTGCCAGAGGACTAACCACTCTTTCTGTATGAATCATTTTGTTGGGGGCTTTCACATCTTATGACAACCCATCATTCAATTGTATAAGCACTTGTACATATGTTGTCATCAACATTTCCAAAATATTTTTCTACTTGAGCCATTAGCATCAGCTCTTTTCCCCCCTTCCTCCCCAGCCCACCCTGGTGAATCCTTGATCAATTATACATTATTATTGTTATTTCATAGGCCCAACCGCTCCCGCGACTGGGTGCTTGATCCCTGGTGGCGGTACCAGCTGGCGTGGCTGCTGCTCCTGTGGGTTCCTAAAACTGCCCATCTTTCACCAGAGCAGAAAGCCTTTTCCTGTGTTGTGGCTATTGGTTTCAAACTGCTGACTTTGAGATCAGTGGTCCAAGGAGTAACCACTATGCCACCACCAGGGCCCATCACGTTACAGGAGGAAGGAAAGAGAGAGGAGAACTTGCTCAGAGACCAGTGCAGAGCTGTTGGGAACCCAAGTGGGATTTCAGCAGAGCAGCTTGCAAGTCACGGGACCGACCAGAATTGGATGGTGGCTCCTATGGGCTTGGAGGCAGGGCCCCCCTGGCTCCCCCCCACCCCCACCCCTGATTGCAGAGTGGATGGGGGTGGGGTGGGGCCCAGCCCGAAGATGAAAGGCCTGGTAATTAGTGCACACTCTCCAAGCCCTCCCTCCCATAAGCAGGTCCTTTGAGGTGGCCGCAGAGAAAGCAGAGATGCAAAAACCATCGGGGTTGAAAACACAGGGCCTTTGAAGGATACGAATCAAGCCCTGGGTAAAAGGCCGGTGTGTTCTAGTGGCTGATTTGATGTTAGATCAAAACTCAGTTGCTCCTGAAAGCTGGGTGCCGGCCTGTGGGTGAGGTGGGGGCTGGCCACAGGGATGTCACCACAGCCGAGCAGGGGGGGCAAGCCTTTGGATGCCCCCAGCCCTCAGTTCACTGAGCCAAGCTCTCCTGGCCCACGCTCCTGACAAGCCCCTCATGTGACCCTGGTCCTGCCTGGGGTTTGGATGGAGACTTGCTCCCACCACTCCCCACCCCCCCCACCCCGTAAATGCTGTGGAGGGTCCCTAGGTGGCCGTGTGCTGAGCGTCCACCCGGATATTGGGGGCACTGAGCTGTGAAGCACAGCCTGCTGCTGCGGGAACCAGGGCAAGGAGGTGGCCCTCACAGCTTTGCATGGTCACAGTCGGGTCACTATGGGAGCCCAGCTTGGCCTGCCCACTGCAAGGCATACCTGGTGAGTGAGCTGGCCTGAGCCCCGGGGGCCTCTTTGTCACTGCTGATGGATGTGAGGGGACATTGTTCATGCCCCTGGCCCACGCCAGGCCCTTTCTGCTCAGCTCAGCAGGGAGTCTGGGCGCTCAGCAGCATTGATAGCATTAGTCAGCACTGTGGGTCCCCCACTAATTAAGAGTGTTAATTAACACAAATGAGTCCAACCTCAGCAAATTAGCCAGCCAGGGAGGGTGTGTGTGTGAAGTGCTGAGAGCAGACCGGGTATCAGGTGGTGCTGGCTGGAGCAGGCAGAGGCTCAATGCCCGAGTGATGGCCTGGTGCTCCCTGCACACAGTCGGAGCCACTCCGCGTAATAAGTGGGATTTATTTGTGCAGCAGCCTGGAAAGTCCTCTGCCCTGCACTGGTGCCCGCCGCCAGTGGCCATCCTGAGACGCTGCAGCTCAGCGGTGGCCCTGTCCAGTGAGGGCACTGCAGCTCACGGGGCCTTCGGCCACCTGCATGCCGGCCCCCTTACAGTCGTCCCGAAGCTCCTTCAGGCGCAGCAGCAGCACCTCCAGGTTCTCACCGGTGGTGGCCGACAGGGGGATGACCGTCGTCGGCCTGAGGCGAGCCTGGAGCTCGGGCAGGCGGGCTCTGGCCTCGGGGAGGTCGATCTTGTTCCCGACAACGGTGTGCGGCCTCTCAGCCAGGCCTGGCTGGTACTGCTCGAGCTCCCTCTTCAGGAGACTGAGCTGTGCCCAGGGCTCGGGCAGCGAGAGGTCCAACACAAAGAGCAGGAAGCCGCAGCGCTGGATGTGGCGCAGGAAGGCCAGCCCCAGGCCGCGGTTCTGGTGGGCGCCCTGCACGATGCCGGGGATGTCGGCCACTGCGGGAAGGGGCACACAGAGCAGGTCAGGCCAGCAGCCCTGGGGACCCTCCACCCACACCTGGAGGGGAAGCTGGGAGCCGCGTGGGCCCGCCAGGCTCCAGGCCTTCAAGGCTCGGGATTCCTTCCAGGAGCAGCCGGAAGTCAGGGAACACAGCCTGGCCTCCAGACCTGCGGCCGGGCGGCCCCGGGACTGGCCTCCCATGAGCCTCCATCCTGAGACTGCCCACGGAAGTGAAGACCAGTCCTTTGCCCACACTGAGTTACACCAATCTGCCCTATGAGGACACGTTTCACCTGCCAAGGGTACAGGGAAAGCCGCTGGAACACCTGCTGTACCAGTGGGGGGCGGGGACTTCCTCACGCCCCACAGGGGCGCCGCCCGCACTGCCAGTCCAGCGGAAGGGAGGAGCTGCCTGCCTGGCAAGGCTGGGGGCAGGAGGGCCCACCTGTCACCTGCTGGTGGCCTTCGTAGTGCACGACGCCGACGTGGGGCTTCAGGGTGGTGAACGGGTAGGGGGCCACGGCTGGTCTGGCGTTGGAGATGGCTCGCAGCAGCGAGGACTTCCCGGCGTTGGGGAAGCCGATCTGCAGAGCGTGTGAACGGGCCACGTGTAAGCCCCGCGCCAGCCGGCCGCGAGGAGGCAGCTGTGGGGGCCGGGGTGTGGGAGGGGGCGACCACGGCTTCTCACGGTGGTCGGGGGAGGCAGCCCTGGGCAGCGGGGTGCGGGCGCCCAAGCAGATTCTCAAAGGCGGAAGCACGGGGGTGGCGGGGGCAGCTAACAGCAGGTGGGGCGGCCCCTCCTTTTGGGGCACCAGGGCTGGTCCGCCTGCGAGAAGACGACACCCACCATCCCCGCGTGGGCCACCGTCTTGAGCTCCAGGAAGAGGACGCGCTGCTGCCCGGGCTGCCCGGGGGTGCAGGTCACCGGGGCGCGGTTGTCATTGGCCAAGAAGAAGCGGTTGCCCTTCCCTCCGGCGCCCCCGAGGGCGGCCATGTACTCGTCGCCCGGGTGAGCGAGGTCGGCCACCGTCTCTCGTCCTTCCTTGACGAGCGTGCCCAGGGGGACCTGAGGGACAGCGTTCGTCTGTCTGAGCCCCGACGGCTCCCGACGCGAGCTGAGCGGCGTGCAGGGCGGGGCACGGCTCGGCTCCGCCCCGGGGACGCCGGACGCAGGGCTGGCCTCACGCAGCGCGGTGACGCAGGGCTGGCCCCACGCAGCGCGGTGACGCGCCAGACAGAAGCCCCTTCCCCGACGCGCACGCAGGCGGCGGCTCACCCGGATGTAGATGGACGCTCCATTCCGCCCGAAGCAGTTCTTGCTGCCGCCGTCCTCGCCGTGGGAACCCTGATAGCGGGACAGCACGGCGGCCAGCGACGTGACCTGGTTGTCAACTGCCGAGAAGGCCCGTCAGCGCGTGCCCTCCCGGAGCCACGGGCACAGCCCCGTCGGGG